AATACAAACAAATTATCAAAACACCTTGTCACGAGATATTAGATTTCAAAATTAAAATGTCAATACAATCATTTTATAGCCATAAATTTAAACTCTGATTTTTAGAATAAATTATGTATTAATTAAAATATGATTCAACTTGAGTATAATTTATTATGGACTATTTCAGATATTATATGCATATTAGTTCTTGTTCTATTTTTAATGCTAGATTTGCTTCTCTATGTAATGATAATTACTACAAATTTATCCATGTTAGTATGAGATATCCAAAAGGTTGTAACATGTTGTCAATTTAGTACTATAATATTATAGTTACATAGTGTAAGAATTGTATATTGAAGCTAATCTTTTGTTCGGATTAAGTGCTTTATATATTATTGCTAAGGAGACTGAATAATTAACAAACCAAAACTCATTTAAAATCAATTGTTTTGCAAGGCTTTTATCCAATTTTTGTAAATAAAATCTGAATGAGAAACCCTATTCACAGAAGGGTAGACGAAACAATCTTTTGAAATGTATAATTAATCCTTAATTAATAACACTAGTTCCAAATGAAGATCTGTATGGTCCTTAACTAATTTGAGATGGGCGAATTAATTAATACTTTTTGGATGAAAGAAATGGAGTCAATGTTTAGAGCCTTCATACGATTTCTTTAGAGAAGTGGTGTAAATGATGAATAAAAATTGGTACAATTTGCACTTCGTATTCTTCCTTTGTTTAGTCTATAATCAATTCACCATAGGAATAGAGCAGCTGATTTCTGTCTCTAACACCTGAAATAATGATGGCTTCAAAAAAATCTCGTTCAAAATCAATAAGGACAAATCTAGCCTTTATTCTCATTGCAGATCAATTATGAGATCATATTTTTCTTGAGCAAACATCTAGTTAAGTCTCAAAACTTCTAATATTCTGAGGCAATTTGCCAAATTCTTCATATGACAAGTCAATTCTAGTTTAAGTAAATATACCAGAGTTGACATATCATATCTGATAACAATGTGATAAACTTACTGTTGCTCAATCATTACGGTTACCACATGCAGATAAACTTCTTTAACTTGCATCAACATATACGGGTTCCTTCTTCGTGAAAATATTATCAATAATTTACTGATTGTAAATATTTCAAAATAGTGTAAATTTTTTTGTCTAACATTTTTCTTTTTACACTTTATATGATGAGAAACAATCAAGAAGTCTTTTTCGTTACATGTTACTTTATTTATTATATTCCTCAGAAATTTAAATTGAATTTTTATAAAGGTAAGTAATCAACTTAACTAAAGAAAATCATCTATTAAAAGAATATCTTGGCATTCCATCATTTTTTAAATAATAGAGTAAAGGAATTGAAATCATACCTTAGAGATGTTCCCAATAGATATGGAATTGTGGGATATTACACAAGCTTTATGATTTGTCAAGGGGGGTGCTGAATACTATTGATTGAATGTGAATGCTCTCTAACATGAAATTAAACAACTGAAGATTTAATGTGCTGAATTAAAATAACTATTGCTTGAATAGAAAGATAAATATTGACAGCAATAATAAAATATTGAAACTAACTTAACAAAACAGTATTCTAAAGCCCCAAAGGAACTTTAGGAAAATTTAACATTAGCCACTTCAAATTGCTAAATATTTAGAAAATCTATGAATCTTCTAGCTTAAGAGAAAACAAGTAAATTAAAAGTTTCTAAAATGAATGATGTTGAAAAATACGAATTATAAATGATTATAGCAAAAGGAAAATCATAATTGTCTGACTTGGAAAAGGCATATACAATCCAATTACGTAAAGTTTAATAGTCAAATTTCGAGGAATAATAAACGAAATTAAAGAATTAGGCTAAGGATATAAATGAAAAAGGTAACAACGAATTTTACTTACATTGAATGCGAACAGAATGAGAAGAAGATTTCATCTTATGAGAAATTTAACAAGATTATGAAACTATCCTTAATTAATAGACAGAATTGCAAGAAATAATTAAAAATTAACAAGCAGAAGCTTAAGTTCAATCATAGACACAATAAAAATTGGAATTATGAAATAGGCATCTGCGAAATCCTAAATTTTGGAAATTGATAAAATAGGAAAGTTAAGAAAGGTAGAAGGGAAGTAACTTAACGCTTAGGTCATTAAATTGCAGCTATAGGAAGAATAAGCGTAACTAATATTTTAAAATGAAATTTTTTTAATAAAAAATTTCTTAATTAAAAGATCAAATAGTTTGGCAATAGAAATTTGAAATTAAATATAGATAACTTATAAATGAGAGAGTTTACTTAGATTGTGAAAATAAATTGGAAACCTAGTCTAATGTATTTAAAAATGAAATAAATGAAACAAGTAAAAAATTTAAAAGCAAGAGTAACTAATTCATGCTTAAGAAGTTGATAAAATTCAATAAATTAAAAAAAGGATGTAAATGCTTAATTGTAAGAAGAAAATTTGAATTGACTTAACAACTATTAAAATTAGAGGAATAATCTAAAATATTTACAGAATAACTTAAAGAATAAATTAATGATTTACCCAATTAATTTAATAATCGGCCCAGTAGACA